AAACATCCCTGTGTCATTCTTTGATCCTAAAGTACCCAGCAGCTCTTTTCTTGTTGAGTCTGCTTGTTTCATTTACATATAATGGTCAGATTTCAGCTGCACTGAGCAGGAGGACTCCAGAAAAGCTTGTCTGTTCTGTCTTTCCAGAGGCAGAAACTGGGCTGAACACTTCAAAACCTTTACCCAGGCACAGTGGAACAGGCCTGGGGTCCCAGTCCTTGAGTGGTGGAGGGAGGAGGATTTGGATTTGGAGCCAGCTCAGGTTATACAGTTGATGGGAGATGTCATTCAATATGTTTCTCATATTGGTTAATGAATAAAGCACTGTTGGCCAATTGGAAAGCAAGACAGGCGGGACTAGGAGACTAGGAGGAGAGAGGAAGTAGTAAGGAGAGTCAAGATGTAGAGACCAGAGAGAGCAGAATGCCAGCCCCTCTTTCTGGTAAGATGAGACCATGTGGAAATATTTAGACTAATAGAAATGGGTTAATATTTAAGACAAAGCCATCCGATAAAAAACTAGTAACTGGCCTACTGAATTATATCGAATACAATGTCTCAGTGTGTTATTTGGGGCTGGCGCTGCAGAGGGACCAGACCGGCTGGCAGGAAAACCGTTCATAACACTCTGTGGGGGGAATATTACCATTTCTTCTTTATTATTATTATTATTTAATAACACAGTTTCTCTATGTAGCCCTGGCTGTACTAGAACTCACTATGTAGTTCAGGCTGGCCATAAACCCAGAGATCTGCCTGTCTCTGCCTTTCCAGTGTTGGGATTAAAAGAGTGCACCACCATTATGTTTTTCACTTTTTTTTGGTTCCACAAACAACTTTCCACTTGTTTTGGTGTTCTTTAATTGCTTTCCACCATTGTTTTGTAGTTTTCCACTTTCCATTTGTTTTGTTTTACTTATTTTTTGAGGCAGAGTCTCAATGTGTAGCTCAGGTTGGATTGAATTTCAGATCCTCCTGCCTCAGCTTCCTAAGTGTTGGGATTACTAGCATGTACCACAATGTACAATCTGGTTTATAATTTTTGTTTGTTTGCTTTGTTTACTTATTTTGAGACAGGGTCTCACTATGTAACCCTGGATGGCTTGAAACTCTACGTAGATTAGGCTGGCTTGGAACTCATAGACTCACAGAGATCCTCCTATTGTCTGCCTCGCAAGTACCCCAGTAAAGGCATGTGCCACCCTGTCTTTCCCCTTCTGAACAGCACCTTGCTACGTTGGAAATCTGTGTCCTTCTACCTAAGTGCCAGAACCATGTATGTGTGTAGGTGGAGTTTTCCTGTCCAGACCACCTTCTCCCAAATAACCAACTCAGAGGCTGAATATGAATTATAAATGCTCCACTGATAGTTCAGGTTTGTTAATAGGTAACTCTTATATTTAAATTAACTCATATTTCTTATCTATGCTTTCCCATGTGGTTTATGGCTTGTTACCTCATTTTCTACACATCCTGCTTCCTGGGTGGCTGGCTGGAATTTCTCTCAACTCCCATACCCTTCCTCCCATCATCCTTAGTTTGGCTTTCCTGCCTGTTCAGCTTTTTATTAACAAATGGAAGTAATATATACTCACAGTGTACAGAAGGATTGTTCCACAGCATATGTACCCGTAAATATACTCTTTATCTACTGTTTCTAAGTAATAGGTTTTCTATATCACAATAATAGGTTTCCCCACCAACACAGTAAGCCAGAACACAGTAAGCCAAATCAAGCTGAAGTGAAAAAGCCAAAGAACAGGTATATTTAAACAAAGCAACTCCCACGTGGGTTCTCCAGTCCCAAAGATCAGGGACTGGACCCCAATTAAAGCAGGGTGGTTATTATACAGCCTGTAGGCAAGGGGTGATGATGTGACCCAAGGATGGTCAAATCTGAATGCTTCACGTGGGGACTTGGGTGGCTGAACCCTCTCACCAACCCATTTTTTTTTAAATATTTTTTTTTTAAATATTTGAGCTTGAGTGTGTGTGTGTGTGTGTGTGTGTGTGTGTGTGTGTGTGTGTGTGTGTGCCAATAAAGGCTAGAAGAAGGTATGAAATCTTCTGGATTGGAGCTACAGGAAGTTATGAACAGCTGGATGTGGGTGCTTAGAACCAAATCCAGGTCCTCTGTAGGAGCAGCAAATGTCTTTACTGCTGAGCCATCTCTCCAGCCTCACAACTGTAATTTTCTAAAAAAAAAAAAAAAAAAAAAAAGGGGGGGGGGAGCAGAAGGATGGCTAATGGGTATGGTGAGTCATACATACATACATATTTTTTTAATGTGTAAAGATTTCAGATCCCCCAGAACTGGAGTTGTGAGCTACCATGTGGATGCTGGGAATTGAACCTGGGTCCTCTGGAAGAGCAGCCAGTGCTCTTAATTGATTAGCCATCTCTCTAGCCTGTGGAGGCTTATTCTCATAATCCCAGCATTTGGTATGCTCAGGCAGGAGGATCATTGTGAATTCAAGGTCAGCCTGGTCCAGTGATACCGTCTCAAAGACAAAAACAAAACAGCAGGGAACAGTTGGTAGTATCTACCTAATATGCAAGTGCTGGTTTGGGGGCTTAGGGAAAAGGCTCAGAGGTTAAGAGCAGTTGGACCTGGGTTCATTCTCAGCACCTATATCATGGTTCACAACCATCCATAACTCCACTTTTAGGGGATCCAATGACCTCTTCTGACCTAGTAGGGCACCAGGCACTCATGTAGTACACATACATACATGCAGGCAAAACATACAAAAATGAGATGTAATAAAAAAAAAAAAAAGTAATACTGGGTTTGATTCCTAGCACACCAGAAAAGTAGGCATGGTAGGCATGTAGTAAGTATTGGTGACATTACATTCACCTGGCACACACTCAGGTATACACCTAAGTCCACAGAACAGACAAATCCACAAAACATCCCTCAGTCTGAAGTTCTTAATTTTAAAATGATTTAATTTCATGTGTGTGTTTTGCTTGTGTGCATGGCCAGTGGTGACTCAAGAACAGGGTACTGGATTTCCTGGAGTTAGAGATGGCTGTGAGTCGCCATGTGAGCCTGGGAAATGAACCTGGGTGGTCTGTAGGAACTAGGCTTGGTGGTGCAGGCCTTTAATCCCAGTGCTCAGAGGGCACAAGTAGGTGTATCCTTCAGTTTAAGATCAGTCTGGTCTACAGAGCAAGGGCAGCAGGACCACATAGAGACTGTCTCAAAAAGAAAGTTGTTTCAAAAAATATTATTCTTTAGCATTAACTTTTAACATTTTTGTTGTTGTTGTTTTAGACAGTTTATCTGTGTAACAGTCCTACCTGTCCTGGAACTCAATTTGTAGATCAGGGTGGCCTTGAACTCAAAGGTCCACCTGCCTTTGCCTCCCAAATGCTGGGATTAAAGGTGTGATCCACAAACACCACCTAAATTTATTTTGGAAATAGGGTTTCTTTGTGTAGCCTTGGCTGTACTGGAACTTGATTTGTAGACCAAGCCTTGAATTTATAAGACATCTACCTGCTTCTGCCCTCTGAGTGCAGGGATTGAAGGTGTTCAGCACCACCAGGCTTTCAGGCATCTCTAAATGCACAGAAAAACAAAACAAAACAAAGCAAAAAACAAAAACATATTGACAGTGAAATGGCTCAGTGGGTAAATAAAAGGTGCTTGCCATCAAGCCTGAAGACCTGAGATTGATGTCTGGAACCCATATACTGGAAGGAGAGAGCCAATCAATGCAAGCTGCTCTCTGATCATGCCCCCCATACAGACAAAATAAATAAAATGCAATTAAAAGAAGCTAATAAGCCTAGCATTGGTGGAGCACACCTTTAGTCTCGGAACTCAGGAGGCAGAGGCAGGCGGATCTCTGTGAGTTTGAGTCCATCCTGGTCTACAGAGCTATTTCCAGGACAGGCTCCAAAGCAATACAGAGAAACCCTGTCTCGAAAACAAACAAAAAAAGAAGCTATTAAAAAATAATTTGTGGACAGCCAGGACCACAAAGAGAACCTGTCTCGGGGCTGGAGAGATGGTTCAGGGGTAAGAGCACTGACTGATCTTCCAGAGGACCCGAGTTCAATTTCCAGCATCCAGATGGCAGCTCACAACTCTTTTTTTTGGGGGGTGGGGTGGGGTTGAGACAGGGTTTCTCTGAATTACCTTGGAGCCTGTCCTGGAACTAGCTCTATAGACCAGTCTGGCCTCAAACTCAAGAGATCTGCCTGCTTCTGCCTCACAAGTGCTGGGATTAAAGGCATGTGCCACCAATGCCCAGCTTCACAACTGTGTTAATTCCCAAGATTTGACCCTTCACACAGACATTCATGCAGGCAAAACAAGAATACACTTAACCCTATTTCGTGAAACAAAACTGTGAGTATGGCATTGTGGCTGTCTATAATCCCAGTACTCAGGAGGCTCAGAGAGGACACCTGGGCTACAGTAAGATCCTGCCTCAAACTCTACCACCCCCATCAACTGTTGGGGTTTGAATTAAGGTTATATGAGGATACAATGAATTTGTGACACAGGCATGGGAACATCCAGTGTTGCTATTTCTCAAAAAGGAAATTTGGACACAGGATTGCCAGCGGTTCCTCAAATGATGTTCCCAAATCTCAAGATGTTTTTCTGAAGACTAGCAACATTGTTGTGCATTGAAATAAGCTTGAGGGGAGGACAGGAGGGTGCAGGAACTGGGATTGATATTTAAAACAAGCTTGTTTCAAATTTAAAAAATTATATTAAAAAGAAATAAGCTTGAACAGCCGGCCTGTGAACAGCAGCCTTCACTGCTAACCTGTGAACTCCTAACACTGCTATCAAAGGAGGTGTGATGATAAAAATGAGCCTTGTACAAATTGCACTCAGATGCTTTACTGCCTTGCCTCCTCCGGTTTTCAGCCTCAGCAATTCAGGTGTTAATTAGGAGAGGCAGCTTGGATGACCTTTCCTCACTGAAAAGCATGACACATGAGAAAACAAACAAATGAGAGGGAGTAATTCTTTAAATTCTTTATTTTATATACTTGATGAAGACGCTTTCGTGAAACTGTCTTCCCAGGGGAAAACAGCATGAAAAGCAGCCTCCAGCTGCTCTGCTCAAGGCCTGGGCTCCCCCTCGCCCACAAAGTGAGGTGGAGGGGTGTATTTCCCCTCTTTGATCAGCTTATCCCGCTGTCGTTTGATTTCATTCAGGCGCTTCATCTGTCAAGAAAAAAAAAAAAAAAAAAAAAAAAAGCACTGAGTAAAGGGAAATAGGAAAATAGGAAAGCCCAGAAAGTGAGGGCTGGAGGAAAAGCTACAGTTCAGTTTCACTGTTAGACTCGGGAATATTTTCATGCATGAGGTCCTGTGACATAGAGTTGACTTCTGTCTTTTGTTCTGTTTGTTTTTTAAAATTCCTAGCTGGGCAGGCTGGCACATGCCTTTAACTCTAGCCCTCAGGAGGCAGAAGCAGGTAGGTCTCTGTGAGTTCTAAACCAGCCTGTTTTACATAGCCAAGTTCCAGGGCAGACATAGCTACACAGAGAGACCTTGTCTCAAAAAAAAAAAAAAAAAAAAAAAAAAAAGAAAAAATTAAAATTCCTAAATGAAAATGGCACTGGCATTATAAAACAGATGTGTGTGCTACTGTATGGCTAAGGAGGGTGGCTGTACATGGCATGCCAAAGCTGGTCTTTGTTTTGGTGATGGGAAAAAAATTATTGGTCAACCAAAGAAGAAAACTTGGCAACATTTAGTTACAATATTTCAAAAGAGGACAGTTTGTTTTTGTATTATTTTAATTTTCAAGATAGAGTTCTTTCTTTTGTAAAGAATCTCCCATTTACCCTGTTTTAAGCATCTAGTACTTTTCAACTGCTGGCAAGAACATTCTAGGACACCCTTTGGATTGTCCATTTAGTGGTGCTTTCAGTGTCTTGCCCTTGGGATGTGGCTCTAAATGTGAGCAACATGTTATGTACCACTCTGAGGAGGAAGCTAATATTTAAAGCACCCCCCCCCAATTTTAAAACCTACCTGTATAGATTATAACTGATAAAAAAATAATAGTGGACTGTGTTTGCATTCTCCCCTTTAAAAAACATAGTGGAATTGAAATCACAATATCAAACAAATGCCACACCCTCCAAGAAGATAAAGGAAAATGCTAGAGGAAGGGGAAACAGCTTTAGTATATCACTCTCCATCCTGTTCTTCCCACAGGGTTTGTTATGGCCATATTCTATACTGTTACAAAAGTTTAACTGGTCACAGTTTTTGTTTTAGCAAGTTATGTAAAATACCATAAATTATGTATATGTTAAAAAAGTAACTTAACGCCAGGCTTTGGTGGCACAGGCCTTAAGTCCCAACATTCGGGAAGTAGAAGCAGTCGGATTTCAGAGTTTGAAGCCAGCCTGGTCAACAGATTTAGTTCCAGGACAGGCTCCAGAGTAATACAGAGAAACCTGTCTCAAAAAACCAAAACAAATAAGGTTACTTAACAAGAAATCTATACCCAAAGTTGTTTTGTATTTAAATGCTTAGCTTTACTTTTGTAAAGTGCAGCGTGCTCCCACATTTGTGTAATCTTATTGATCAGATGTTTAAAATTACTTCAAATACACCATTAAAATAATTATTTTATGATTAAAGAAACCAACAAAACACACACAAAATAAACTTCCTGTGCTGAGGCATGAGCTCAATGCTATGTAAATGCTGCCCCAGTCGAAGTTTACAAGAAGGTTTTATTATTTATCTATGTGTATTTGTGTGTGAGTATAGATGTGCCTGTATGCCCATAGAGGTGAGAACTGAGGGATAGGGAGTTGTAAACTGTCTGACAGGTGCTGGTAATTGAATTTAATCCTCCACAAGGGCAGCAAGTGCTCTTAACTGCTGAGCCAATCCTCCAGCCCACTAAATTAATCTTTAAAGAACTGAAAAGCCAGGCGGTGGTGGCATGAATCTACAGCGTTAGACTCTTCCAGGATAGCTAGAGTTGTTACACAGAGAAACCCTGTCTCAACCCCCCCTCCCGCGCCGCGCCCCCCCCAAAAGAACTGAAAAACAAAGAAAAGAACAAACTAGAAATCAACTCTCAATTTTTTAATAGATTCCTTTCTTTCTCTTTTGGTTTTTCAAGACAGGGTTTCTCTGTATAACCCTGCTGTCTTTGAACTTACTCTGCAGACTAAGCTGGCTTCGAATACAGAGATTCACCTGCCTCTGTCTGAGTGCTGGGATTAAAGGCATGTAACAACAAGACAGACTCAAGATTTCTAATATACATAATAAGATAATCTCAGTATGTATAAAAAAAAAAGGTAATTACAATACTGTTAAGAGATACATTTGTGAGCTTGGGAGCTAGCTCAGACACGATGCAAGCCTGAAGACCTTCAATTCCTCTGACCTCCACCATATACCTACCATGAAAATGCATTCACCCACACAATGAACACACATGCATACACACAAATCAATGCATTTGTACATGCTAAAATGTCTTAAAGATATTTAAAGACAATTGCGCATTGAGGCTCATGCCTGTTAATTCCAGCACCTGCAAGGCTGAAGAACACAAAATAAACAAACAAATGCCACCACACCCTTCAATTACTGAAAGTTTTTGATCCAGATAACTTGGTTGTAAATTTAACAAAAATCTAGATTGCCTAGATGAACTTGGAGATAAAAAAATTTCAGCCAGGCATAGAGGTGCACACTTTTAATCCCAACACTCTGGAGGTAGAGGAAGGCAGATGTCTGTGTTTGAGACTAGCTTGGTCTACATAGTGAGTTCCAGGCCAGCCAGAGCTACACAATGAGACCCTGTCTCAAAATAATAAATAGTCAAAATAAATAAATTCTACTTGATATACCTGTAACATAGAAATAGGCAAAGTGATGATCTAAAGTCAAAGCTTTCTCCAAGATTACAACCCACGTGTTACAAATTCATTCAGCTAAGACCTTTTCCTCCCTGAACCTTTGGTCAAGTTAGCCTACAAAATGTTATTAATGGATGCCTCCACCTTCTTCAGAAATACATCCAGTTGATTGCATCAGTTCATTGCTCTAAATCTACAGAGTTTGAGAGCTTCTCCAAGGAGGGCTCAATGACTGTGAAATTCCACCCCAAATTTTTCTTTTTAAATTAAAAAATATATATTTTATGTTATGTGTATGTATGGGTGTTTTGCCTACATGTATGTTTGTGCACCACAAGTGTGCCAGGTGCTGGTGGAGGCCACCTGGTGTCTGATCTACTGGAAATGGGATTATATAGTTGGGAGTGGCCATGTGAGTGCTGGGACTGGAACCGAGGTCCTCTGGAAGAGCTGCCAGTGTTCTTATTAATCAATGAGCCACGAGACATCTCTCCAGCTGCATCCAAAACTTTTCAGGAACAACCAATCAAATCTAGTGGGCAATCTTTGCTTTACAAACTACTGAAAATCTAAGGCCTAAATACGTGTGCAACTCTGACTACAGGCAGAGGAGAAGAGGAAGACACTAGGGAAGAACAGGCCCTCCTCATTACAAAAGCCTTATCATTTAACTACCTGTGAGCAAGCCACCGCCCAAAGACCAACTGAAAACATTGCAGATGGCCCAAGGGACTAGATGTAGTTCAGGGATAGAGCGCTTATCTAACACATGACCAAAAAAAAAAAAAAAAAAAAAAAAAAGAAAAGAAAAGAAAGAAAAAGAGAAAAGAAAAAGAAAGGGGGAAAGGGGAGGGAAGTAATTTAGCTCCCATATCCATTATTTACTGACCGTTTTGAATCGAAGATAACATTCCTTGAAATCATCATACTCTATCTTGCACTCTTTTTTAGCCCGGGTAGCACCAATTCCATGCGAACATTCTATCCATTCTTTTTCAAAAGCATGGCACCGAGCGGGAATTTTGTAGGGCTGTTCAACACTCTGGAATGTGAAATGACGATCTAGGCTAATGCCTAGCTTTTTCTGCACATCAAGGAAAGGCATAGCTATAAAAGAAGATAAAGAAAATAAGGGTGGGATAAAATGAGATGTTTCTAGAAAAAACAAGACAGTTCAGCAGGGCGTTGGTGGCGAATACTTCTAATCCCAGCACTTGGGAAGCAGAGGCATTCGGATCTCTGTGAGTTCGAGGCCAGCCTGGTCTACAGAGCTAGTGCCAGTTTTAAGACAGGCTCCAAAATACAGAGAAACCTGTCTGGAACCACCCACCAAGAAAACAAAAAACAAAACAAAGCAACAACAAAAACAAGACAGTTCTGATGGGAGATGTCATTCTGTATATGTTTCTCATACTGGTTAATAATAAAGCACTGTTGGCCAATAGGAAAGGAAGATAGGAGGGACTAGGAGACAAGGAGGAAATAGGAAGTAGTTAGGAGGGTCAAGATGGAGAGTCTGGAGAGAACAGTATGCGGCAGCCAGCTCCCGCTAAGAACACGTGGACATACATAGATTAACACAAATGGGTTAATAACTAAGGCAGAGCTAGCCGATAAGAAAGTAGTACCTGGCCAATAGCATAATATCAAATACAGAGTCTCTGTGTGTTATTTGGGGCTGGCGCTGCGGCAGGACAAGACCAGACAGTTCATTTGTGAAGTCCTAGTCCCCAAATATCTTCTCACCAAACTTTATACTTAACCAGGCTGCCTTCAAGTCACTATTGTAGCCAAGGAAGGCCTTGATTTCCTCATTTTCCTGCCTCCAACCTTCCAAGTGATGGAATTACTAAACTTTATTAGACAAGTTCTCCCAGCTGAATAATTACGGGGCTTTTACAAAACTCATGGAAAAGAAAACTAAAGTTAAATATGTATGTATATACATATATAGTCTAGGGTGAAAAAAACTGTTTTGGCTCAAGAGAAGAAAACAACCAAACAACAAAAAAGTCCAAGACAAAAAACCCAACAACCAAGAAAATGGAAAACAAAAAGATGTGCAGGCACACATTATTTCTTTACATTGTCCTATAGTCTTTCCATCCCAACCTAGACAAAGCTTCCTTTCGGAAGCTCTCTTGAATCTAGTGTTTCTTCTTTCATAGAAGTGGTCTGTAGGTCTGTAGGAGAATGCATGCTGTTCTAGCAGAGGATTCAAGTTTGAGTCTCAGCAACCAAGGTGGGTGGTTCACAATCCAGATTCAGGGGGATGTGATGCCTCTGGCCACAAAGGGCAGCTATACTCACATGCCCACACATAACTAACAATTAAATTTAAAAAGTACTTGGTTCATTTCTGTAACAAACTATTTGTATGTCTTCCTTATTAGATTTTGCTTTTCACAGCAAAATCTGAGGTTTTAGGCAATTGCTAAAAATAAATAAATAAAAATAATAAAAAACAAACAGGAAATTTCAAACAACTTAAATGGGTAGGAAATGGGTAAATTCAAGCCGGCGGTGGTATCGCACCTTTAATTCCAGCACTTGGGAGGCAGAGGCAGGCAGATCTCCATGAGTTCAAGACCAGCCTGGTCTACAGAATGATTTCTATCTAGGACAGGCTCCAAAGCTACACAGAGAAACCCCGTCTCCAAAACCAGAGAGAGAGAGGGTGAGAAAGAGAGAGAGAGAGAGAGAGAGAGAGAGAGAGAGAGAGAGAGAGAGAGAGAGAGAGAGAGAGAGAGAGAAGATTCTGGTGCTCAGTAGACTATGATACACACTTAGAAAAAAGACTAAATAGAAAATACATAGTAATGCTGACAGAGACAATAATCCCAAATGACAAAACTGCTGAAGACTGGAATGCAAGCACAGTACACATCACCCTGCATGCATAAATCCAGTGGTGAATTTAATTTACAAAGTTTCTTCCCTTTCTTTCAGCTTTTACTGTGCAAGTTACAGGCAAATGGGGGAAACCAGCTCTTTGTAAGCACTGGAGCCCACATTGGGAACTTGGAAAGAAACCTGAGAGTAAGAGTTCAAGGGTGGAACTCTCAGAAGATTAGAAAAAGTCTTCGAGATTTTGAGAAGAGTCTCAGTATCTCTATGACAACCTACAGCTGCCTGTAACTCTAATTCCAGGGTTGGCCCACATAACACACAAACACATACACACACACACGCGAGCAGTGAGTTCCAATATGGCAATGAGAATAGCAGTTAGGGCATGTGTGGGGACGGAGACCCTGGCACACAACACGAATGCAAAGGGCTCAGGAGGATGAGGGCCGAAATCACTGGAGGACCCGGGTAAGAAACGGGATACAACCTGGCATGGGAGCTAATCTCAGCATTTGACTACTGAGTGAGCTCCAGGACAGCCAAGGCTACACAAGAAACCCTGTCTGAACAAAAACCAAAGAGAGGCGGGACGTCAGGGTAGGAAGAAGGCCAAGGCAGTCCGGCTCGAGGCGGAGTTGACGAGGAAGGCCGGCGGGGGACACAGTTGTGGGGTGAAGGGGCCTGGAAAGAGGGAGCACACGCCCAGGACCCGGGCCACCCACAGCGAAAGGAAATTTGTCAAGGAGACCTCCTTGCGGAGCTCCCTGGCTGTGCAGACACAGTAGCGCCTACCGCACCAGAAAAGTGCCCTTGTCCGCTGCCTCGGTGCAGAGCACGACCGGCGGCTTCGGGGAGACGCAGACGCCTGCCGTAAAGGACACTCAGCAGTGCGACGTCTACAGCGCGACGTCGCAAGCCGATCTGCGCCTGCGCACGCGGCGGTCCCGCCTCCAGACTCTTGACAGCTGATGAACTGACCTTTAGGCCACTGTGCCTGTAATGAGTTCTCGATCTCAGCACTGTCACAACAGCTGATTGTTGTGCTATTTGGCCAAGGTCACACTCGGGAACGATTTTACTTCTCTCACCCCAAACACGCGTAGTAGTTCAAACTCGTGGGCCGTGACTCCAAAACACATGTGTACTTCGATGCTTCCTAACCTCCACGGTGCCTGTTTCCCTTTCTTAGTAAACGCAATAGCCGGCTGAAAAGAGAGCCCAGAGGTTAAGAGCACTTGTTGCTCTGGCAGAGAATGCCGGTGCAACTCTAGATTCAGGGAACTCGTATTCTTCTGAGCTCGCCGACACACGTGATGCCCATACAGACAAAAACACTCACATACATAACAAAATATTTTTTTTCTTTTTCTTCCTTTTTTTTTTTTTTTTTTTTTTTTTTTTTTTTTTCGGTCAGAAACAGGGTTTCTCTATATTGCTTTGGAGGTTGTTCCCAGAACTCGCTTTATAGACCAGGCTGGCCTCGAACTCACAGAGAGATCTCACCTCCTGATTGCTGGGATTAAAGGCGTGCACCACCAACGTCCAGCAACAAGGAAAATCTTAAAAGAAGATATAAGGGCTAGCATGGAGATGCACGCCATTAAATGCCAGCACTTGAGAGGCAGAAACAGGTGTACCTTTATGAGTTTCAGGCCGCCAGAGCTACATAGAGAGATCTTGTTTCAAACAAACTAATAGCTATAGAGTTGCTATAGGGACTGGTTAATCCTATGACATGGTGAAAAAAGTTCTTTGGCCAGGTAGTGGTGGCTCACCCCCTTAATTCCAGCACTCAGGAGGTAGAGACAGATGGGTCTCTGAGTTTGAGGCCAGTCTGATCTACTTCGAGAATTCCAGGACAGCCAGGACTACACAGAGAAATCTTGTCTCAGAGAAGAAGGAAGAGGAGGAGGAAAGGAAGAGGACAAGGAAAAAGAGAAAAAAAATCCTCTGATGTTATCAGCTGACATCCGCATAAAAGCAATCAGGAAGCTGAGACAGAAGGGTGTCTGTGAATTCAAGGCCAGCCTGAGCTACATAACCAGAGTCCATCTATTCCCCAAAAAGTTTCTGGAGAAACTTAATTTCAATCACTCTAACATGCTCCATCCACCTCCTTCCATCATCTAGGTGCTCCACATAAAATCTGTTTCAATTCAGTTAGTTTCCTGAACACTCAGTGGGAGTCCAGCAAAATATTGGCTCATTATGGAACTGGTAAATCATGCTACAAAGTTCTAGTAGCCACACCCTCCTTGTTTTTTTCTTGCAATCCTGGGGCTAGAACACAGGACACCATATGCTAACATATGTTGTATCACTGAGCTATATCTCCAACCACCCTTTCTCTCTCTCTCTCTCTCTCTCTCTCTCTCTCTCTCTCTCTCTCTCTCTCTCTCTCTCTCTCGGTTTTTTGAGACAGGGTTTTCCTGTGTAACAGTTCTGGCTGTCATGGAACTTTCTTTGTACACCAAGCTGGCTTTGAACTCAGATATCTGCCTGCCTCTGCCTACCAGGTGCTGGGATTAAGGGCATGAGCCACCACTACCTGGCTCACCCTTGCTTTCTTGTTTCTCAGTGGTAGCATCTTTTCAGTCTCTTGGGCAGGTAAGGTTATATTCCTTCCACCAGTTTCCAATATATTTAATTCCAGTCCTTGGCTCTTCAATCCATCTTGCATGACCAATCTTCCAACAATACAGACTTTATTATATCTCTCCTCAGAAATACCATGCAGCAATAATAGAAACAAGGGAAATCCCAATGTTTCCTGAGCCAAACACTATATGAAGGCATGTGATCAATAACAAATGACCGTTGGCCTCAGCTTGAGGAATGATAGCAGTAGGAAGTCTGACAAATTGGAAAGCTATACTGTAAGACACAGAAACAGCTAGCTCCATAGCTTCATCTTGTTATGCGAGAACTAAGGTATCAAATTTTGCATTTTTTTTTTCACTTTTTGAGACAGGGTTTCTCTGTATAACAGCCCTAGCTGTCTCAGAACACACTCTGTAAACCACACTGGCCTTGAACTCACAGAGATGCACCTGTCTCTGTCTCCTGGATGCTGAGATTAAAAGCATGTGCTACCACACCTGGCTCAAACCTTGTAAAATTTCAAGAGAAGCTAGAAATCTGCTGAAACCCAGAGTACTGCCTAAGTGACTTAACTGAATGTCTACTTGCACCAATCTTGTTTATGTTTGATGACAGGATGTCTGTAGGCAAGAATTTCCTCAAGTGGGTTAGCCATCATTGGTTGCCAAACAACTTCTAGCTTTATTAGCTTATCGGATACTGGAGATACTTGGAGCTGAGACAATGGTGGACAGGACAATTACACTTTGGCCAGATGGGTTAGTTATACATATCTCTTGCCTGCTACTTATTAGAAATCTTGTTAGAAATCAGAAGAGTAACTTGGGTGAATCACCTGAACTTTTCATCCCTCTTCTCAATGTAATTACATTGAACAAATCTCTTTTCCTGATTTTACTATTAATTTGGCTCTTCTTATAGGTTTTCTGAGGATGAGCCGCTGAACCCTGGCTTGCTGGAGCAGTCTGTGACTCCATGCCAGTCGCATTACCACATGCCATGGCCTTGTTGGGTTCCTGACACTAAGATAGTCAAACTGTTGTGGCAAATTATGTTATGAAGTGAGGCTGGGGGTATAGCACAGCGAGAGACTCCTACTCAGCATGGACACCCTGAAGCATACACACCACTCAAAAGAGGGAGCCATTACAGGGTGGTGGTGTCACACTTTAATCCCAGTACTTGGGAGGTAGAGTCAGGCTAGTCTCTGTGAGTTCCAGGCCAGCTTGGTCTATGAGCAAGTTCCAGGACAGCCTCCAAAGCTAGAGAAACCCTGTCTTGAATCCTCCCCCCAAAAGGGGGAGCCATTCATTCTTACTGAACTGTGGAGTCAATGTTTCACAATGCCCAAATTCTTAGGTTTGACTTCTATTTCCAAGTTTTGAGATTATACTGCCTTCCACTCCCTCCCAAACTCCTGTCTCCAGTTATGCAGATAAACATATTGTACATGTGTGTTGCTTCTATCCTTCTACCACGGAAGGGCGGGGACTTGAGGGAGTCAGTCCTAGGGGACTGAACTCTAGGGGCTCAAACAGGATTAAACTCAGGACATCAGGCTGGGTGACAGGTGCCCTTACCCACTGAGCTTGGCCTTAAGTTTGAACTTCTGCCTGGAATGCTAACACTCTCTCCCCTCCTCTACTCCATTCACACCCAATTTCTCTCGACAGTGTCTGAGGGAAATTCTGATTCTTCAGTTTGAAGTTTTTCATGAAGCCCTCCCAACCCTGTAAATCTAAATGTGAACAGGTCCCCACCATTGGACCTGTCATACTACTGGGTCCTCACAGGCAACAAGCCCTTTCCTCTAATGCAAAGGCTGGAAAACTATAACTCCCAGACCAAGCAGGAACCACCCGAGCTGCTGTTGCTATGGTGCCCAGGATTCTGCAGTTCTGTGCTTTGTGTATGAGCTTTCCGGTCCTTCATCCCTTACCTTCCACACCTTCCCGTCAATGCTTCTTTAGGGCCGTACAATAAAGCAAAGGACTTTATGCCTTTCTTCATCTCCTGGACATCCGAAGACTCCAAGACCCTTGTAGCTCAGGCCTAAGGGCCCAGCCCAAGCCCTCTGAACAAAATTCAGTGGCTGCCTGAGGACCAGGTGTCTGGGCTTCACTGGTGGGGTAGGGTTATTATCTCAAGTACCCTGGCCATCCACTCACAAGTACTTCTATTCTGGCCCCTTCACATAGTGGGAACTTTAAAAGCGTCTTTATTGTTATGCAGATCTAAACAAAATGTTAGCCTAAGAAGCCTTGCACAAGGGAAGGCCTGGATATTGGAAATTCTCAGATTATTTAAACCAACAGAGTGATTTCCATTTGGAGATGGAGGAAATACCAAGTTGAACAAACAAAACCAGGAATTCCTAAAGCAAAGTTGAGTTGGAAATAAAGCTGTCTGACTCAAGATGCCAGAGGTAACTGGAGGGTGATAAATATTCCATCCTTAGAACTCCCCTTTGTTAGTGTTGCAACTTGGATGGAAAGGTATTCTGGCAGTCAGGTGCCAAGGCACAAAGGCACCATAAGCTCAGCAGTTTACAGCTCTGTTCCAGGAAAAGTTTTCTCTAATACAAGTGTAACATATATGCTTCACTGGGCATTGACGTATCTGCTCAGGCCCCTGAAGTCTAACAACTGCTCTGCTAGAGTAGTTTTTCCAGTGTCACAGCTGGACTCTGTTCCAGCAAAATTGTCTCACTGTGCAAATCTCAAGAGGTTTATTGGGAAGGAAAAATCCAGGAGGGTGGCTGCCTCTAGGGTTAAAATCAGCAGTTAACTAAACAGAGTAGAGAGCTTATTATATAGGATTTCCTGGGGGTGGGGAGAGCTGAGCTTTCCAGTTGGCTTGGGTTTGGTGGGTTTTTGTAGCCTGATTCTGGGGCAAGCTCAGGAACTGGTGGGATTTCAAGCCCTGGTCTTCGGGGTCAAGTCAGGGTGTTTTTCCTTGGCCCTTTTTACACTAAACTCTTGGGGTCTTGGAAGTTAGAAGCAGGTGGATTTCTGTGAATTTGAGACCAACCTATTCTATAAAGTGAATTCCAGGACAGCCAGAGATATATAGGAAGACCATGTAGAAAACAACAAAAAGAACTCCCCTTGTGTTAAGATGTGACTCGGTAAGAGTGCTGGGTTCTATTCCCAGAGCCATATACAAAACCAGATATTGTGATGCAAACCTGCAGTCTCAGGACTTGGGAGGTGGCAGCAAGAGGATAAACTCACCCTTAGCCTCAGGTAGAAGGCAGCCTGGCTATTAAGAGCCTGTCTCATCTTGACAACAGGGTTTCTCT